AGCGTGCGGCCGCGTTCCTCTTTTTCTACCGCTCTCTCGTCCCTGTCCTCGCTCTCCGTGGTTCAGGCCGCTGCCGTTGTCCCGACGTTACTTCCGTGACGATGAGCTTCAATACGCGCCGATAGTCGCGGCGGGAAACCAACGAGCCTACCCAAAGTCGTCCATGGTTTCCACGCATCCAACCCAACCCAAACCCAGCCTAGCTCAACCTGGGACGCGACCAATACGTACACAAACTCGAGCGCGCATCCAAAGCGAGAGAGAACGCCCGAGAGAGAGAAAGAGAGCCCGCAAGCCACATCCAACGGAGCTACGAGTGTATAGGTATAAACACACGGAAGAGAGACGGAGAAAGAAATGATGGAGAGTAAGGGAGTCGGAATGAGAGAGAGAGAGAGAGAGAGAGAGAGAGAGATAGAGAGTGAGAAGGGCGGCGGGGAAGGGGTGGTTGCGCGGGCGCAACCATCCGCTCCTCGCTCCTCTGAAATAATAATAGAAGAATGAAAATGAAAGAAAAGGAAAAAGTAATAATCTCGGGGATCTTTTAAAATCCATCGAAGCAGACGAAGCCGCCGGATTGTGTTGTGTGTTAGGGCAATCTCACCGCCGTGCCGCGCCGCGCCGTGCCTCCTCGTGTATCTCTATCGTCTCTGCCGCCTCTTTTCTCCTATCTTTTCCCGTCTTTCTTTTTCTTGCTGATCCACTCGTTCGCTCGTTCGTTCGTTCGTTCGTTCGTTCGTTGTCCCCCTTTCGTCGTAGACGAGCACACGCCCCTGGTGAAAGAAACTCAACGTCGACGAGAAAGATACCCGGCGATACCGATGTAGCCCGATGCCGAGGAACGAAGTGTCATATAACCACGTGACAATACGGACGTATCGGAACCACCGCTTGTGCAACCACCGTTTATCTCGTTTTCTTCCTGCTTTATCTCCTCTTGGACCATCTGCGAGCTTCCTCGCCATCGAGTATCGCCAACATAGACTTTTGACGTGTCCCCTACTTTTCGATCTAGATCTTTATTACTGCGAACAAACGGAGATGTATAAATCTGGTTAAAGCCATCTTTGATCACAGGAAAATTGAATTGAACGTAGAACTTGTTGCGGATTAATAATTGGATTGGTTCCGTGTACGGGCAAACGATCGTTCGTACGTAGAGAGTTTAGTACGTACAACCTTTCTCGAACGAAAAATCGATCCAATTCGACGCATTTTTTCTTCCTTGGATGTTCGACTTGTATAATGACTCTACGACGCTCCACTCTTTCATGGAATCTTCGTCGACTGGATGATCCTAAAGGTCGTGGCGTAATTCGCTACGTAATGGTCGCGCGCAAATAGCCATCGCTAGGTCAGCAAATTGGCTCGAATGGTGGCTCGAAGGCTCTTTAGGACGCGAAACTCGGAATTCGCGGATGCCACGCATTTGACGCATTAACACGGTCGGAACGGCGAAAGGGGGAGTGGATGTTCAGCGGAAAACAGGGATGCCGGGGAATTCGGAGGCCGGTTGACAGCAGCCAGATACGCGAGGGAATAAGACAGAAGGCCAGACGAGGACCGATATCGGGGCAGAGGGAAGCGGGAGAACGCGGGACACGGTAAAGGAGAGATCGAGTGAGTACGAGATGGATAGATAGATAGATAGAGAGAGAGAGA